GTTTGCTATTTTGCTTATCCAACTTCAAACGGCGATAACCGGAGCAAATGAGCTCCGAATTGAGCGTGTGATAGCTTGTTGAGAAGGGAATTAAGTAAGACAAAGATATAATCTGAGAAGAGGGTTTGGTTACGAGCGGTGTGCTCGCAGAAAAATTAAGAGTGAACCATGTTCAAGTAAGTAAAAACGTAAATGTTGTAATTGGCTAAGTGGGTTTATGGGAACCCCTTAGTAACTTATTATAAGTAAAGTAAGTTATAAAAATAGTTTAAATAAGTCTTCCGCAAGAGTTTACGGTTACGGTCACAGCTTTTAATTATTACGCTTTTTATGTTTTAAATGCTCGCGTAATAATCGGAAAAAGTTTATTCGCATTTTTATAAATGAATTGCTGTGATTGTAACTGCGCTTAATATCATAATTAATGTTAACAATACCGGTGTACAACGGGCTGTTACAGTCACCACACTCACAACCGTTGTTTTAAGGATCTTCACACTAAATGCTTGCAATTGGAGAATACACGTACACCAACAAAGCACCGTAGGTCACCAACCTTCACCGAAAAAGAAGCTCACGAACAGAGGAAATGGCGGAGGAAATGATGGGTATGGTAATCACTACTTGTTGTGTGACTGTGTTCACTGAGTCAACAACAAAGGATCAACAAGACTCTCTTCATCAAACGACGTCGTCCCCTTCTACTCACCTGAAACAGCCTTCGAATCAATACGACGTCGTTCCTTTCTTTCCAGGTGGCTGTGACGTTAGTGACTCAGCCACTTAACATTCCAGCTGGCCTTCGTCAAGTGGGTCGTCACGTTCCATGTAACAGAAGGACAAACGTGTCCCTTTTTTTCAAAAATTAGACACTAAAATGTGACTTTTTTTACCTAGGGACTAAATTGTGACTCGTGAAAATTTCCAGGGACTAAAAATGGTATTTACTCAAAATTAAATTTAAAATTTAAAAGAAGTTAAATTAAGAATGATATCTTTATAAAATTAAGATATTGAGTTATGTTCAAATTAAATACTCTAATTTAGATTACAAAAAAAATTACTATAAATAAAATTAAATTAGTTTATAGAAAATTATTAATATACCAAAAAAATGTATAAAATTTATCATTATATAATAAATGAGAATTAAGTCTCTTTAAAGTAGTTAAAAGTAATCAAATTGAAAATATATTATTTCATGTATTATTTAATATGATAATATTATGTGCGAGGATTATAATGTTTTATTGACATATCAAATACTATGATCAAATAACATATGAGAGAATTCATTTTCAATTTTTTTTTCTTAAAAGTAATATGTATTTTTTTTTAAATTTTATACAAACAAAAAAAATTCATTAAATATTAAAATAGAAATATTACGTATAAGAGATATTTTAAAATACGGTAAAATATATTATTTTTTTTCATATTATAATCCATATTAACTAATTTTTTAAATTTAGTTGAATTATATATATCTTTTACAATTTTAACATTTTTCTTCAAAGCATGTTTGTGTTAGTATATGGATGTCCTAGAGACAATCTTTTGATTAGATTAGGACATATGTGGACCTTTTATATTGCGCAAATAAATAAAAGCACTATTTATCCTGTTTCATATTTTGTCTCAATTTTATTGTTAATATTTTATATGAGTAACTGGTTAAACCCCTTGGAATAGAACATGTATCTCTTGAGTATCTGTGATGAGATCACGATCATGAGGATTCAAGGATACCGCACGATCATGAGGATTCAAGGATACTGCACGTTTATTCCTAATTTTATGTTCCTAGTCTAGAGACACTGAGAATGGGGATCAGTGATCTCGGGTAAGACTAGCACGACTTATCTACTTGTATTTGGATACAAGGTAAAGACCTCATGTGCTACAGATATGGAGATGTCTTAGCTAAAGTCGTGGGTGGACCTATAAGGGTATAGGTCGCACTGAACAGACCCATAAAGAGACTCTATGAGGAAATCTCACAGATAATATCATTAGAGTAGTCTCTTTATATTTGGGTAGGTCTTTCCTTAGACCAAAAGTTATTACCTAGACTGTGTTCTAGAAGGCATGCTTTGATTGTATACCTCGTCTGCCTGAAACATGGAGACTCATAGGTACACTGTTGGGCTTGTCCTGAAACAGCACATGGCTAGGGTGATAAGCTGAAGGAATTCGTCAAATCTCTGTGAGAGATTAGGTTATCTGTAAACCGGAGAAATCGGGATGACATTTACTAGGACTCGGGAATCTATGCATAGTAAAAGAGATCATGAGATGATCTGCCTTTAGAGTCAGTAAATTGAAGATTCCCTATTTCGAATAAAGCATACCCTAAACCGCAAGGGTTGATACGTTTCCTTACCCTAGGTTTAATGGGAAGGTAATCGAGACGAAAGGAAATATATACGGCAACCAAATATGTATAATAGGATGATCAAGTCATTAATCTAACTAGTTCTGGGGCAACAAAGCATTGCTAGTGCTTGTGATGTCATTTAATGTGTTGTGGGCTTGTTGGGCCCGAGCCCATTTATGTCAGTGGCTATGTTGGACCTAATGGGTCACACACTAACACCTTATTGTCATGATGATCTAGCATTAAAGGTATTGGGTCTAATAATGGTTGTTAGCCCAAGAAGAAGTTTGGAAGCCCACCTAAAAGGGAAAAGGGCGCATAGATCATGTAATGGGCTTGGATGGTCCAAGACATTACTAATTAATTTAATTAGTTAAATTAATTATCAAATATTTAAATCTTGAATTTTGAACTTGAAATTTGAATTTTGAAATTCGAATTTTTGAATTTGAAATTTGAAATTCGAATTTTTGAATTTGAAATTTGAATTTTGAATTTAGAATTTGAATTTAGAATTTAAATGTTTGAACGTTTGAATTTAAATGTTTGAATTCGAATTTGAATTGGCTATGAAAAGTTGTTTCAAAACAAAAGGATAAGATAAGATCTTGTTGGAACAAATCCCTAGTATCAAGAGGAGATCTTTGATCACATCCAAGACTGAATTTGGGGCGCCACTTTGGTTGTTGTGAGTGTCATCTTGTCAATCAAATAAGCTCCAAATCAGATTTGGTTGGTTGAGAGAATCAGTGTGTGAGTTGGTTCAAATTTGAATGCAACTACTCAATGTATCTGGATCGTTTCTGGGGCTGAAGGGGGCGCACATATGGTTGGCCATATGATGGCCATTAGATCAGAATTTTGACTAGGTTAAAACCTAGTCTCATGAGGATTCAAAGGTAGGTTGTTGGGAATTTTGAATTGCAACAACTCCACCTTTTTTCGTCCCTCTTTTAAATTCTATCCTACAATCTAGTTACGATTATTTAGTCATGTCTAAAACATAATTAATTTTTAAAAATCAACTAAAACCAAGACATTGGCTGGAGCTAACGTGGCTTCGCCACTGATTGTGTGTGTTTATGCGTATAACATTATTAATATTTATAATATTATACCATTCTTACATTACTTTCTCTTAGGTAAATAAATGAGATAAGCACACTTCTCAATTGTGTGGAAGTATTATTACACTAATCTTTTTCTTTTTTTCTTTTTTCTCGAACAAGTAAGCATTACAAAAGGTATAAAAGTTGTGTGCAATGATCATTTTTCTATTTTTTTAATAGTGATTTATTTACAAAAGGAATACTTTAAACACTATTTTACATGCAATCTCGGCTTTTATTAATTTAATTAGTTAAATTAATTATCAAATATTTAAATATTGAATTTTGAACTTGAAATTTGAATTTTAAAATTCGAATTTTAAATTTGAATTTTGAATTTTGAATTTTAGAATTTGAAATTTGAAATTTGAAATTTGAATTTTGAATTTTGAATTTTGAATTTTGAATTTAAATTTTGAATTTGAATTTTGAATTTGAATTTGAATTGGCTATGAAAAGTTGTTTCAAAACAAAAGGATAAGATAAGATCTTGTTAGAACAAATCCCTAGTATCAAGAGGAGATATTGATCACATCCAAGGTTGAATTTGGGGCGCCGCTTTGGTTGTTGTGAGTGTCTTCTTGTCAACGAAATAAGCTCCAAATCAGATTTGGTTGGTTGAGAGAATCAGTGAGTGAGTTGATTCAAATTTGAATGCAACTGCTCAACGTATCTGGACCGTTTCTGGGGCTGAAGGCACATATGGTTGGCCATATGATGGCCATTAGATCAGAATTTTGACTAGGTTAAGACCTAGTCTCATGAGGATTCAAAGGTAGGTTGTTGGAAATTTTGAATTGCAACAACTCCACCTTTTTTGTCCCTCTTTGTGCGCCACCTCAATCAGTTTTTAAGTGAAAAATCTGATTGCATCATGACTCTCTCATCACACTCTTGTGCGCCAACTTGGGTAGGTTCTCCTTGGGGGCTTTCACAAAACACCTAGCCAATTCTACTCCATTCTATGCGCCACTTTTGTGATGTTTTCTTGCTGAAAATATCACTCTTCTAAACACATGCACCTTACCTCCTCCTTCACTTATTGAGCGCATAGCAAGCCTCTTTGTGGTGATCAATTGGTGGTTGTTCAAGAAAGAGTTCTTGCATCTCGACGTGGGTGGTGTGGATCAACGTTAGAGGGTTTGAACCTTTCAAACCTGATATTGATCAGATCAACTTGGAGTTAGAATCACAAACAAAGGTAACATCATGTTGTCTTAAAGCATGAATCTTGATTGCATGTGTGATTCCGCTTGAGAAAATTTTTTGTTTTTCCCTCTCACATATGCATCGGCCATCAAACCATTTTACTTTCACTTTGTAATTTATATTTCATATTTTACCTAATAATTATCATAGAGATTTAAGTGTTCAAAAGTTGATAGAGAGCACGTGATATTTGTTAATGTCTGGGACCTTTCAATTTGGACTGAGATTCCAAGGACGCACCCCCTTCGTAGTTTCGTATATTTCAAAGCCACCATCAAACACAACACGAAGTAGGAACACTTCCCGTTTCCCTCACGCCTCCACCAAACCCCTGCTTAACATGTGAATATTTATACTGAAATCTAAAAGACGACAACAACAACCAACACCGTTTGAACACAAACATTGGTGTTTATCATATTTAATTCATTCCAATACTAGATTCTAAGGTATCATTCCCTAAAATTTACCTTTTTCTCTCTCTTAGTCTTTATTATTATTATTATTTTTTTTTTCTGTACTTGGTCTAGAATTTTCAACAATGAAAAAGTTCTGTTTATTTATTTTGCAGTGTCAATAAGATCAATAGCCAAGACATATTCTTACATATAAACAGTGTGTTCGGGATCGTGAGAGTTTATTTCACGACCCTGACACAAAAGGGGTTTCTCTGATTCTGTGTTTGGTTCCTTTCTTTCTCTTTTTTCTGATTTTCTTAGCAACCCACTGAGGTTTTGTTTGAAAAGTTTGGATTTTTCACCTACCCTTTATCTCTCTCACAATGATTTCCTCGTTGAGACAACCTAGTATAGGGATCAGTGGTTCTGATTTTGTTTTGAGGAAAATACATGCAACCCCAATTCAGCCAAGGTCGTTTTTACCTTCTCTGTCAAAAGAAAAAGCTCAAAGATCTGTTGTTTGTGTGCAAAAGCCTCTTCACCTTGCATCTCTTGGTGCGGGGTCTTTTGGGTCAGTGAAGAATTTTGAGTCAGCTAAGAATTTTGGGAGGGATGATTTGGTGAAGTGTGGAGCTTATGAGGCAGATAGATCAGAGGTTGAAGCTGCAGGTACACCATCAGTGGCTGTTAATAAGGTGAAAATTGGGATATATTTTGCAACCTGGTGGGCTCTGAATGTGGTGTTCAATATTTATAACAAGAAGGTTTTGAATGCCTACCCGTACCCTTGGCTTACTTCAACTCTTTCACTTGCATGTGGGTCTCTCATGATGTTGATCTCTTGGGCCACCAGAATAGCAGAGACGCCTAAGACTGATCTTGAGTTTTGGAAGTCTTTGTTCCCTGTAAGTTTGTTTTTGTTTGTTTCTTAAGGGAAAATTATTGATGCGAGGAAGTGAAAGCTTTGTTTTGTTTGCTCATATGTTTTTTGTTCTGGAAAAAAAAAATGTTTTTTATAAACAATTTTGGACACATATCTGGATATCTATGTTGGTTAATTTCTGGAGAAAAAAAAAACTAGAGAAAGTGTAGTCTAGTCCACTCAAAATATGTAGCTGAATCGACAGTTAATTCTGAGATTTTGGTTTATCAATGATGACAATTTTTAAGTTTTGAAAGAGTAATTTCATTTTAGCTGGACAACTAACAAATTTTCTTTATGCAAAATGGATTCTAAAAAAGTCTTAATCAGTTTGGTCACTCTCCTTTATTTATCATTTTGAATGGATAGTGACCTTGGTCTTTGGTGTTTCTTCTTCAGGTTGCTGTTGCACATACAATAGGACATGTAGCTGCAACGGTTAGTATGTCAAAAGTTGCAGTATCATTTACCCATATTATCAAGAGTGGTGAGCCTGCTTTTAGTGTTCTGGTTTCGAGATTTATTTTGGGTGAGACCTTCCCTGTGCCAGTCTATCTGTCATTAATTCCAATCATTGGTGGATGTGCACTTGCTGCGGTGACTGAGCTCAATTTCAATATGATTGGTAATGAACTTGTCTTTTGAAGAACATTTTGTTTCTTTTTCATCTTGTTATTAATCATAGTAATAAGTTGGAGATGGGATGATAAACTGATTTAAATTTTGAATTTGACCTGAAAAATATAACTTGTGTTTAATTAATTGAGTTATGGTAATATCACTTTTTTTTTTTGGTTAGCAAACTGGCCTTTACTGCACTTTGTTGTCTATTGTTGCTTGAATATATCCACCGACTGCAAGGGTGATTTACTTGTCTAATAATGCCATTAGAGGAGGTCTATGAAGCACCGATACTCCTTAAATTTTTTTCCAACGTATCGGATACGCGTATCGGAAACGTATCGGACACGTATTGTTTGGTAATCGACATCCTGTATCATCGAGTCGGTGCTTCATAGGAGGAGGTTATTTATGCTGGAGTGTATTTCTCATTATTTTGCTGCACACAGTTCTCTGCACTCTCCTGACTTTGATTGCAATGACCCTTTTTTTCAGGTTTTATGGGGGCTATGATATCAAATTTGGCATTTGTATTCAGGAATATCTTTTCAAAAAAGGGCATGAAGGGAAAGTCTGTCAGCGGAATGAATTACTATGCTTGTTTATCTATTTTGTCCCTCGCAATTCTCACACCCTTCGCAATTGCTGTGGAAGGACCGCAGATGTGGGCTGCTGGATATGAAACAGCCCTCTCTCAAATTGGACCCCAATTCATATGGTAATTACAAGATGACTACTCACTGTAATATTGATCTATTGTATTTGTTATCATGGTTGTATTGATCTTAATCTGTATGCATCTCTATTTTCCATACTAGAGATAAGGTCATATCTTGAAAATTTCATAATATTTGATTAGGTTTACTAAACTATTATGTAAATCTCTTGTTTGTCCTTATCAGAACTTGAAAAAGTATTTTATATTGCCTAAATTATTGATTCATTTGTTTTTGAAAGACATATACATCATCAGTATGGGGAAAGGCGGAATGGACCAGAAGAGCAAACTTAGTGTCCTGTCCTTTCTGAGTCAACTGAGTGTTCCTGATCGTAACCATCAACCTAAAATGGCTTAAATTGTTGGTAGTTATTGAGTACATCTTGTTTTTTAATCATCTTTGTATTCTATAGATGTTTGAGATTGTCTTCATGGATTCTTATAATGAAGTGACTGGGATATTCACATCTCTTTGAGGGTTGGAAATCCTACATTAGAAGTTTTATCTGGTGGGCTTGTTGTATTTATGCATTAGCTGATTCCTTCTTTATTTATTTCTCCTTTAAAATTGGAGAGAATATGAACTAACTTCGGAAAAATTCTTTGCAGACCATATATGAGAACATCTATTGCTTGCAAGTTGCTAGAATTTATCCCAATTGTCAACTTCTTTAGTTGCAGGACTGAGATACTTTTTTGTCTCAAATTGATGACCGTGACCTTATTTTAGTTTGAGACTTGAAAGCAGATAGATTGTCTGTGAGGATCAATGGACTGGTTATCAAGTTCCCCGATTTTATATATGTTATGTAATTAGAATGAAAGACCAAACCTTTAGTGCAATTAACTGTGACATTTATGATACCTGATTGATGTGTTTGAAATTTGTAACCGAAAATAGAGCTGTTTTTACTGTCCTGATTTTGGGTTATCAGTTGTTCTCTTTCTCTATCTTTTGGTTGTGAAAGCTTCTGCACTTCTCCATATTTATTGCTGGTAATTGTACACAACAGGTGGGTAGCAGCTCAGAGTATATTTTATCATCTGTACAATCAGGTTTCATACATGTCTCTGGATGAGATCTCTCCCTTGACATTTAGCATTGGAAACACCATGAAACGTATATCTGTCATAGTGTCTTCAATTATTATCTTCCACACACCAGTTCAGCCCATCAATGCTCTTGGAGCTGCTATTGCTGTCCTTGGAACCTTCTTGTATTCACAGGTATTTTCTAGTCATCATTTTTAAATTTGGATACGTCTCTCATACTCATTGCGCCCTTTGGCCATATTATTTAAAACCGAAAGAAAATGCTATTTATATTTGAAACATCAAACATGCTTATAGTCCTACATATTATTGGTTGGAGGATCCATTGCAGAGAGAGAATGTGTTAAGGGTGAATCGTGAAGGGGATGCTCATTAGGGCAGTTAGGTGGTCTGGAACCTCAAAGTGGTGAACCCTTCTACTAAATTACATTGTTGGATGAAGGCATTGTTATTTTGTCTGGAGTGCAAACTGCCGTAGGATTTTAAACTATTCTCTTTATAAAAGGGTTTGGTGGGAAAATTTTGATTTAGTAAGAGTTTACAATAAAAAAGTTGGAGGCTCATAGGGTAGAGTTGGGTGTCAATGTGCCTCAGGATGTCTTGGCTTTCTATTTGATGGTGCTAGTCTGAAGTTAGGTGACGTGATATTTTATTGGTGGATGGACTTTGAATTTGCCACCTAACTCCTATTGGTTAGAACTTTGAACCTACCTCTACTTATTCCTTTTCCAAGTCAATTTCAACATAAGTTAGTGTACCTTATAGAGCTTCCAATGTTGACCGCACCAGATACTTTAGCATATGCTTTGGTTCATACCTTCACAATAGGAGCATCTATGGTACCTTTAAAGTAGTTGCCATGTGGGGCCTTGGAAAATAAAGAAAAAGGAGAAAAAGAAAGGTTAGAAACAAAGTAGAATATTGATTAGATTACATGTGTTTCTCTAAGATATATATATATATATATATATATATATATATATATATATACATGTGTCTACAGCCGCTTTACGTACAGCAATGACAGGTGTATGGTTATGATTCTCCACATTAAATACTTTCATCTCTATATATGTTAAGTATTTAACTGCTGCACATACAGCAGCTGCAGAAATGTAAATCTCTCTCTCTCTCTCTATATATATATATATAGGGGAAGGTTATATTTACAAAATTTTTGTTTACAAACTCTTACAAATTACACTAAGTATGACTAGTCATAATTAGTATGATTTATAAAAAAAAGTTTGTAAACGGATCATTCTCTATATATATATATATATATATATATATATATATATATATGTGTGGTTTTCTTTTTAAAATAACTATTTTTTTGGCACTTATTTCTCATTGTACTCATTTTTGCAGGCAAAACAATAGTGTTGAGGAATTAAGATTCCTCTAGGGACTTGTTTGTTACTGCTCGTCATGGTCAACAAGGGATAAGGAAATTGATTTTGAAATGTGACTGCTGGATTTTTGTAAGATTAGGATGATCTAGCTGTAAGTTCATCTGTAGATAATAATAAGAATACCACTTCTGAGGAAACATTATCATAATACAGATGATAAGTTAGATTTTTTTTTTTTTTTTTCAATTTCTGAATTGCCAATGAGTTGAAATAAATGTTGTTGTTTATATAATCTGAGAATAATTTCTCAAAACCTTATTTCCAATAAGGATTTCATAAGAATATGATGCGTGTGATCTATTTGATGCTCTCTTGTTTATATAATAAATGTTTGCTGGCATGAGTGAAGATGCAACTTGGGATTTAATATTTCAAGGCATTATTAACTTTTTTAAGTTATGCTTAGCATATTTTTCTGCCCTTTGACCTTTTCCATGTGATACGGGCTTTGTCTAGTGATAAAGCGACTCTTCACTCTTGTAAAGAATATTGTCACATTCGTGCACGTGTTCCTTCACTATCGATACTTCATAATTCATGTTCTCAAACTAGATGGAGTCTGTTACGATAAGCTTCTTTTCAAGTGAATAAGAGTGGACCTTAAATGTTAAATTTTATGTGGTTTTTCACTTTGCTATTATAGTTCAAAGGAAAGTAAAATTTCAATTTCATTCCTACTAGAAGTAAAAATAACCGTAATTTATTGCACAACGACAACGTCTGTTTCATAACAAAGTGACCACCTTGGTCAATTAAAAAGGAAGCATATATGTTGACACAGAATGCATCTATTCATCTAAATTTTGTATATCATGCGAAAAGAAATAAATACAAATATCTTAAAGGGATAGGTTATTCTACTTATTATTTTTTTTGCCTACTTTTGCCTACCACTCTCCAACACCGTTAGATCAGAATCTCAAGAAGAAAGAGAAAGATAACTGTTAGTTAAGATTTTGATCTAATAGTATTCTAGAGTGATAGGTAAATGTAGGCAGAAAAAATGGTAGGTAGAATAACTTATTCCTATCTTAAATAGGGTTTCACAAAATTTGATAGAAAATACTTATTTAAAATATTTGTATTTTTTCTTTTTTACATAACTCTCACGTGAAAAAAAATTATATGTGAGTATCTATTATCTAACATGCACTTTGATAAGAATTTCCACAAAAGAATAATAAAAATGTCCAAGAGAGTGATTTGAGAAAGAGAGCTGAACCAGTTTCATGGAGACTATCTGTGTCTATATATGAACTGCCACGAGCTTCCATATTCAAACTTCAACTTCCATGCAATTAGACAAACCGTAACATTTGTGTATAGGGAGTGAAGAGAAGACTTATATAATATTCTTGTATAAACTGTGTTCCTCAAAACTCCAGAATTTAGAAAGCAGAAGGTGGAATGAGCCATTGCAAGTTCGATGTTCTAAGAGGTAATAGAAGTGGTGATTTCATTGCAGCTAAACTTTTGCAGAGACACTAGTTTCTAGGGGGTGTTGTGGATTATATTTTAGAGGCTGAGGCCCCAAGAAAAGAGGCTGAGGCCCCAAGAAAACTTTTGTGGATAAGGTTTCCATCAGCAGAAGCCAGAAGAAAACAAGTTACCTACAAATTTACCAAACATATGTGGGTCACCCTATAAATTCCTCTCTAGTTTATGAATTTGTTTAATAAAGTGTTTTCTCGTGTTATTGAGAGATTGTTTTACTGCAATATATTTTTATTTTTTATTTTATTTTTTGTTTACAGTGAGATCCATATGAATTATGTATATGCAGAAATTTTTCTAACCTCGTATTAAATGAAAGATGCAAAGCCCTTTATTTAATGGGCCTTTGGTTTTGGTGAATATGGTTATTTATTTTTTTATTTGGATAGAGACAAGAAAATATGAATATGGTTATTTAAAACATAAAAGCCGAGATTGCATGTAAGATAGTGTTTAAAGTATTCATTTTGTAAATAAATCGCTATTAAAAAAAATAGAAAAATGATTATTGCACACAACTTTTATACCTTTTGTAATGCCTACTTGTTCGAGAAAAAAAGAAAAAGATTAATGTAAGAATACTTCCACACAATTGAGAAGTGTGCTTATCTCATTTATTTACCTAAAGAGAAAGTAATGTAAGCATGGTATAATATTATAAATATTAATAATGTTATACGCATAAATACAAACAATTAGTGACGGAGCCACGTTGACTCCGGCCAATGCCTTGATCCTAGTTAATTTTTAAAAATTAATCACGTTTTAGACCTAGTTAAATAATCGTAACTAGGTTGTATGATAGAATTTAGTGTTTATTTAATCATTTTTGGCCATGACTTAGTTGCTACGCTGCACACAATCACCTTATATTTGCATATCTTTTCATATCTAATTATAATGAGAAAAGTGTTTATCCTTTTAAATGACACAACTTATATCCTTTCACTCTCACAAAGAGGTGAGACCCACACCTTTATTTTTTTTGTCAACTCTCTCTCCTCATTTATCTATCTCTTTCTCTTTCTTAAAATGACACAACGTTATATCCTTTAAAATGATACACACTTTTCTCAATTATAATTGGTTTCATTTGGAAAAAGTGTTTGTCATTTTAAATGACAGAAAATTATGTCATTTTAAGAGAGATACAGACACAGAAAATTTGAATTTTAAATTAAAAAAAACCACCTACTTTCTCTCTTCCATGATTTCCGTTTTTCTGTGTCTATCTCTCTCTTAAAATGACATAACTTATGTCAATTAAAATGACAAACACCTAACCCTTTATTTTTCTATATATTTCCATTATGAATCTACCACTCCAATAAATGTGAGGAGATACGCCTTCCACTGATTTTGTAACAAGCATTTTCCCAATTATAAACACAACATTTGCTTTCAACCCCCAATTCAAAAACATTTTAAACTTGCATATCACGTCATTTATCTATACTATATTTATCCACTTATTGGTTTTAAGGGTTTTTTATTTTTTTTTTAAAATTAAATTTTCGCTCATACCCAACCCGTAGATGCCGCTGCTAGAATAAGTAATCTCGTTCTCTTATTTCTAAACAAGCTTGTTAGATGTTGTACCATTGGGATCTATAAGCTTACTATGTTCTCTTTAGGGATGGAGTCACTGTATGGGTGATACCTCAAGCGAAGGTAAAGACCAGGCTAGAAGTATCGTTCCAAGTATTAAGCAAGCTAATAACAATGGAAGATTTGGTGTGTGTATGGTGTAACTCAAAGTAAATGGGCAGAATAACGATACATAAGATGTCCTCTTTGTGTGTAAGGGGGCTATTTATAGGGGAAGGTGCTATGAACCTTCTCAGGGTTCGTGAGGAGAGGGTCAACTCTCCTTGGGATATGCCAGGGGTGGCAGACTATAGACGGTGCTGGGCGTAGCAGGTGCTGTCATGATAGCAGTGACGCGCCCCCCAGTGTCTGGCGGTGTCAGCGTGTGACAAAGGGTAGTTTCCTCTTGTGGCAACTAGGGCGATCATCTTTGGGGGTTGGGGTCCCAAGATAGGACATTTCCGTGTTTCCCCTAGGAAGTGTCGTCACTTTGGGGGTTGGGGAGCTGACGGTTGGTAGGGCTGACGTGGAAGAGGGGTTGAGATTGGGCTCAGACCTTTGGGCTGCCACATTGTTGGGCCTATCCAGAACAGATGCCTCTAATGTGTGGATGAAGAGAAGGAAAGTGAAGATTTTAGGTAAACCTTCACCTTATTTTAGAATTTAATGAAAAATAACAGGAAGAGAAAAAACAATTTTCATGTCATTCTTCAAAACCCTAATTTATGAACATCTTAAATAATAATAATATATATCCAAACTAAAAAAAAATAAAAATGTATCGTTAGTGGGTTACCTTTGAACAGATTTATCATCAGTATACCATCACAACCTGTCACACAAAAAACACGTATAAGGGAATGTTTGGATATAGGTAAGGGAAGAGAATAAAAGAAATCGGAGAAAAAAAATTTGGGAGGAATAAAAATGACAATAAAAATATAATCATAAATATTTAGTGAATTTTATGGTTAAGTTTTGGGTATTGATTATAATAAATAATTAAAACCTTAAGCGTTAATCTAATTTAGTTGTGGTTAAGGTTTTGGAATGTTACGGTTGTTGGATCTAGAGTTTCGGGCTTTTTGACCCTTATAATCCTTTATTAATAATTAATTACTAAATTGACCTTCATTATAAATTATTTCGAAAATTTAATCCCCTTAAAAAACATTACACCAATTTACCCATGTTTGACCGTTGACCACCAAGTCTACCCAGGTACACCCCTCCCTATCCGGATATTTTTTGAAATTTTTTGCCAAGATAGGAGTGTACCCGGGTATTGTTCTTGATATCTGAGAAATTGCTTGAATTATTTACCCGAGTAGGTAAGGGTGTACCCGGATAAATCTCCACATCTTCAACATAATTCCCAACAGCACTGGAGCTGCTAAGGTACCTATTATATATATAAATTGATACAACATTTGATTAAATGGTGGAAATTTATTCCAAAGCTTTTGTTCTTTGTCACCATTGAATGTTGAATTTGTGACAAAACAGTCTGTAGGAAAAGTTCTTCCATCGCTAAATGGTAAATTAACTGGAATGTCTTTTCGAGTTCCTACTGTGGATGTTTCAGTTGTTGACCTCACTGTCAGGCTAGAGAAGGCTGCAACTATGACCAGATCAAAGCTGCTATCAAGTAAATTTTAAACTTTTTGAAGTCTTCTTACTTTTAGTAAAATTGAATTGGGTTTTCCTCCTATCTCAATCTTTTTTTTGTTGAAATAACAATATCCAGGGAGGAATCAGAGGGTAAATAATTGAAGGGGATTTTGGGTTACACTGAAGATGATGTGGTGTCTACTGACTTTGTTGGCGATAGCAGGTAATGTTGATTAATTTTTGAAGCAACATTTACTTCTTTGACTGCTTTTATTGGTGAAAGATAAACTATCATGATCAGTTTTTGGTGTTCTTGTTAGAAAATTATATTTTCTAATAATTATTGTGGGTCACATATTATATTAATAATTATATTGTGCTATTTATATATATTGGGTAAATTAAAGTGATCAGGTAAATATTCCCAAATAGATTCCTAAGTGAGTATGGGCTGAATGAGTGGATACCGGTGTTGGGCCAACTATGTATAATGGGAGCTTATTGGCCCAACAATAAAGATAAAAACACTATAAAGGGTTATGGTCCCCAATACGTCAAAGAACAACCCTAGTTTCTCTTCCCCATCAAGAGAGAGACGGCACACTAAGGAAT